GTAGCTCATGCTTGTAATCCTAGCACTTTTTATATATATATATATATATATATTTATATACATTCATATTTTGTAATCTGGTCATCTAGTTACGAAAATATTTAAAATCATTTTTCAAAAATTTCCCGTTCATGTAAGTTCATTTGCATTCGCTACTCGCTTTATTGATTTCGTTTTATGTTTCGTTCCGTTCTTTTTCTTAACATTTTATTTTCTGCCTTTACGCGATATTTTCACATAAAGTGTAAGCTATTTGGTTTCAAAAATGCTTTTTTTAGTGCTCCTCGTGCTGTTGTAGCGATATATTTTGCTTTGGCTGTATTGATACAGTATTAGAAAGCACCCCTTTTTAGCGGATATAATCGTTTGAGCTGATGAAAAGATGATATCTTTTCATTCCAACTTTTTTCGTATTTTTAGTATTATATTTTTTTCTCTTTTCTTATTTTTCTGTAATTTTTCTCCATGTTTTCTCTACATTTTGAACTTATTTTATGAGTTCTATTTACTTGCAGCTTAAGAGCAGTAAATAAAACTTATTGTTTTTCTAAAAGTTAACTTAAGCGTTACTTCGAAGAAAACGTGCTTGTTGCAAATCGATTCAATCCAGGCTATCAAATTTAGTAGAAAGCATACGTAGTAGAGTTTCTTCAAGCGAGAAATACTCGATCATTCTCCTTGTTGAACAGATTTATACCTTTTCACTTTTATATTCCGTATCTCCTTGCAATGGCACTGTTATTACTTACTTAGTGAGTTGTTGTATGTCACAATAAAACTTATTGTTTTTCCTATAAAAATCTTGTATCATCCTTTTTCGCGCGATATTGTAACATGATTTGTTAGTCGTAATAAGTTTTGATTAATTCATTTTTGCATGCTACGCTGACAATACATGATTTATTTTACACATATGTAACCACACCTAGTTGTTCAAAAATATGAATAAGTATGCTCTTATTCAGCGCTTCGCGAAAGGGTTCCGCGGAAAGCCCACATAGGTTCCGAAAATGAGGACATTTTTCCCCCTAAACCTGTAACGAATTTTCGAAACCTGTATTAACATTTTTACTCAAACTATCCATACTTTATTCGATATTTTGGTCATATTCATGAATTAATTAAATTGAAATACTAATAAAAAAATAAATAGCAAAATGGTTTTACAAATAATTGCATAAGTATTTTTCGTCGCACTTTTCGATTCAAAATAAATGTCCAAACTCAGAAATACAGAATTACGTTTATCCGATAACGATTTAAACAGTCTATTTCCACCTTTTCTCGAAAACCATAATTCATTTTATTTTATTCAATTTGATCTTAAGCAGCAGTCAAAAACAAAATCAGATCAAAATTAGAAGCTTTTGCAAACCTGAAAATTCAACTGCGCGGCATGAAAACTAATTTTTGATGCTCATTGATAAACCAATAAAAATTTTCATTCTAAAATTATGGTGAAATGACTGGCAGCAGTCTGTCCATCCGATTTACAGTAAAGTTTCCTGCAAAGAGCATTTTTTTTCTTTATGGTTTTGAAACTATTTACAAAGAGTATGGTTATGAAACCATAAATACAAAACTATACGTTTCTTCAACCATTTACAACTAGCATTTTTCAAAAACGTTAAAGGAAATTACTATTCTACTTGAGTTCTGCTTTTTGTAAGGTTCATAAGGGCATTGGAAAGGGGCGGACACTGGAAATTTGTCATGTGTTGAAGGTAATGGCAAAATAATGTGGTGCCAACATTAAGACTCGAACTCCAGTACTGCCGGTCATGAGATTGACAGATAAGCCCGCTCGACATTTGCAAAGAACTAAGTAGCTTCATACGGCGGTTCTAGATAGTGAAATAAAATTCTGGTTGTTTGACCGCATTAGGTGAAAGCAGTTAATAAACAGTTTTTCCCATACTTAACAGGTTAGAGTACAATTTTATTAATGGTTATTTGACTATTTTGATTAAATTTGGTAAAATAACTGTCAATAAATTGTTATTTAACCATTTTTTAAAGAGAAATTTCACACAGTGTTCTTCACATTCTATATTAAATTGTAGTTTATTTAAAATAGCATATTCACGGCTGTTAATAAAGTTTATTTATAAAGTCAGGGTTCCACTGCAAGAGTCTTGATTATTTAATGTTTCTCAGCTGAAAAAGATGGGAAACCGATGCACTCAATACTCGCAAATGTGCATAATTTCTTGACCTTACAGACAATATTTAGTGTTTGGTATGGTAAGATCTGTCAAAGCAGTAATTAAAATTATGCTTACCTTTGTGTTAAAGCGTTGCCATTCTTTTTGTTACAGATTACTACTTCACATTTACCAGGAACTTGATATGGTTTTCCTGCATCAACAAATATTCCGTAGTCCTTTGAGTAGCAGTTAGCTGTGGAGACAAACGCAAAATATGATTAGGAAATAGGAAATTTGTAGGAAATAAAGGAATATATATATGTATGACATATTCACCTCTGAGTATTACACCTCTGTATACTTCTGAGTATGATATATATATATATATATAATAAATACAAGAAAACACGAAGAAAGTTAAGAAAAACAATAGGTTTCATTTATTGCGCTTAAGCTGCAAGTAAACAGAACTCATTAAATAAGTTCAAAATGAAGATCAAACAAAGAAAAATTATAGACGTAGGAAAAATGGGGGGTATAATCGTTTTGCGGATATAATTGTGTGGGCTGATGAAAAGATTATATCTTTTTTTTTCTTCCGGTTTTTTTTAAATAAAATTTCATAATTTTTTTTTAAACAGTTGTTTGTTAATTTTTTACTTATTATTTCCCCCCTTTTTTCATATGTCTATAATTTTTCTTTGTTTTATCTTCACTTTGATTTATCATCATTATTTCATATATATATATATATATATATGTATGTGTGTGTGTGTGTGTGTTCTTTATATACACGAAAGTCAATATTCATATATATGGGACAATACATGGGACAAACTTAAAGTGAAAATAGGCCACATCAAAAATGAGAAGAACTGCATAGCAGTCATAGTCTGGAAATATCATCATACGTACGTCTGAACCAGCTATCTCATTTTGAACTTTCCGTTCTTGCAAATATGAAATAAAATTTTTAATAGCAAAACTATCCTAATTTTATGATAATATTAAGTTTTGTAGTCTAGCGGATCCTAATGATCGACAGTTTGATCAATCCTCTTTTGGCGGAACTCTAAGTCGATAGTATTCAATGTAAAGAATTAAAATGTCCCCCCCCCCATCGTTTTACGAATAATAGTCTAGGCGTTACTTCAAGTTAAATACGCAGGTTAATAATACTATTAAATTTTGAATAATATCCATTCCTTTCGATAACAATTTGCTTGAATAATTTTATAAAAATGATCGAAATACTAAACAAATAATTATTGGATATAAATCAAAAGTTTCTGGTTTGCAGAAGAAGCCCTTAACTTTTGGAATCCATGTGACATTGATGAAGAAACTCAGCGTTCCGCAGGAAACCTTATGGAAACCTCTGCTCTAGACAATCATTTCATTTAAAAGGCCCTGAATAAGCTATTTAATCGTAATCTTTAAGTTGATGAAATGAACAAAAATTCAAAATAACCAGTCAAATTTTTTAAACTCATTAAATTAATTAAAGTAGCTGCTCTATGCTTCTGTGCTTATTCGAATACGATTGAAATTATTGGTGTCGATGAAAATTATTGGTGTACGTAAAATTAGCGTAAATTAATATTCTCTGGTTATATAACGTGCAGTTTCAAATCCGCAATAAGAACCAATTTATAATGAGAAGATGCTGCTGTTATGTTATATTCTTTGAAAGTTTGTATTATTATTATGTGTTTTTATGAAAACTTTGAAACTCTGTCGTAAATAAGTTTTAAAATAAAAATTTATACTTACAATAGTACACGGGTGGAACTGTAAATGAGCCCGAATCATCAGATTTTACGATTTCCACAAATATAAAAAGAGCAGCGATCGAGAAAAGTAAGTTCTGAAACATACTTGCTTTCTTTTTTTATTTCTTTATGTCACGAAATTTACCTGCAAAAATGTAAACTAATTTAACTAATTGCTACCATCACTATCGTAAAAAAAAATCAAGAAGAGTGATCAAGGAAACAATAATTCTTAAATTAATTTCTAACGTTTCTAAGTCTCTCTGTTAATTATAAAAATCTAAAATAGTCACAAAAAATTACGTTTATCTATTTTGAAAGGCAAATAGAAAATACTTTTATTTTGTTAGAAAGTATTATATTAATCCTACTTTGGGAAGAAAAGGGGAAAATAATTTCTCCACTTAAAGGAACAATTAGCTGTGCTTCAATTTTATTAAATAACTGAATAAATAAATGCGCATCGAGATTTAATCCCGCTTCCTTCGAAAGCGAAAAGCAATACATACGTTTTAGGTGTGACAAAAATTATTTCCTTTTAGTTCACTTAAAAAATATAATTTTTAAAAATAATATTTTAATTTGCGTTGTTTGAGACACATTTCAAAGAGCGGAGATTGTTCAGGAAGTAAATCTTTCTTCTTCCTGAATCTACTGAGTCACGAACCCCAGGGATGGGTGGTCGATTCGAATTCTGCTCAAGAGTTAAATCCACAGTGTTGACATAAATCATCTCCAGGGATCGACGGATATACTTTCAATCACGTTAGCCATATAAGGTTTACGTGGTATTCCTCACAGAGTAATGCAATAGCTTTTGAGTTGAATCAAACAGTCAAACATGAAGGCTAATTTTTCCCAAATTCAAGATTTCCTTGTCTTTTGGGGTCCTTTGTTGGTCCCCTATGAAGCCTATAAAAATTTCCTTTATTACGATTCTTCTGTACATTAAACCTTAATTTCTGATCGAGTTTGAAATTTATAGGTTAATATTAAAGGGAGTTAAGGGGGGTGACGTGTGCGTGTATCCAGAGACCATATCTGTCTGTTTTTCTGCCATTATTCGCGTTTTAAGACAGAGAGATACTTATTTATATATAAAAAAAAATTTATATCCGGTAAAATATAGATAGAGTTGTTGTTAAAATAATAATAAAAAATAAATAATTGAATAAAAAAATAATCCGTAATTTATCCGCTTTTATGCTATTACTTGCCGTTTTTCAAGAGAAAACTAATAATTTTTACAATTAGAAAACGTTAGTCACGCTAAAGCACATTAAAAAAATAATTTAAAATAAAATAAACAATGAAAAAAATTAAAAAATCTCCAATCGCCATTGGGTTTTGAACCCAGGATCTCGAGAGCGGACTTGTCCGCAACATTCTAACAACCTCGCCACGCTTCACAGGAATCTCACGCGAAAATTTAGCTTTAAGTGCCCTTTTCCGGCAAGTAAACAAAACGTATTTTGGTCCTTTGTTAGTCCCCTAATGAGCCTATAAAAATTTCCTTTGGTACGATTCTTTGGTACATTGAACCTTATTTCAGACCGAGTTAGAAAATTATAGGCTAATAATAAAGGGAGTTAAGAGGGGTGACGTGTGCATGCCTCCAGAGACAATATTTGCCTGTTTTTCTGCCATTATTCGCGTTTTGAGACGGAGAGATACTTATTTATAGATGAAAAACAGTTTATTTTCTGTGAAGTATAGAAAGAGTTGCTCTCAAAATAATAATAAAAAATAAATAAATTAATAAAAAAAATTATCCGTAATTTATCCGCTTTTGTGCTATTATTTGCGGTTTTTCAGAAGAAAAATAATAATTTTTATTATAGGAAAACGTTATTCATGCTAAAACACATTAAAAAATTAATATAAAATAAAATAAACATTGAAAAAATTTTAAAATCTCAAATCGCCGCAGGGTTTTGAACCCAGGATCTCCAAGGCGGACTTGTCCGCAGCATTCTACCAACCAAGCCACGCTTCACAGGAAGCTCTCGCGAAAATTTAGATTTAAGTACCCTTTTCCGGAAAGTAAACAAAACGTATCTTTGTCCTTTGTTGGTCCCCTGTTAAGCCTATAAAAATTTCTTTGGTACGATTCTTCGGTATATTAAACCTTAATTTCTGACCAAGTTTGAAAATTATAGGTTAATATTAAAGGGAATTAAGGGGGGTGACGAGTGCATGACCCCAGAGACCATATTTGTCTGTTTTTCGGCCATTATTCGAGATTTAAGACAGAGATATACTTATTTTTATATAAAAAACACTTTATTTTCGGTAAAATATAGAAAGAGTTAATGTTGAAATAATAACAAATAAAGAAATATATAAACAAAAAAATTATACGTAATATATCCGCTTTTATGCTATTATTTGCTGTTTCTCAGAAGAAAAATAATAATTTTAATAATAAGAAAACGTTTTTCACGCTAAAACGCAATAAAAAATAATATAAAATAAAATAAACAATGAAAAAATATAAATTTCTCTAATCGCGGCAGGGTTTCGAACCCAGGATCTCCTGGGCGGACTTTTCCGCAGCGTTCTAAAAACCACGCCACGCTTCACACGAATCTCTTGCGAAAATTTAGCTTGAAGTACCCTTTTCCGGAATGTAAACAAAACGTATTTTGGTCCTTTGTTGGTCCCCTAATAAGCCTATAAAAATTTCTTTTGGTACGATTCTTCGGTACATTAAACCTTAATTTCTGACCGAGTTTGAAAATTATAGGTTAATATTACAGGGAGTTAGGGGGGTGACGTGTGCATGACCCCAGAGACCATATTTCTCTTTTTTCTACCATTATTCGAGATTTAAGACAGAGATATACCTATTTTTATATAAAAAACAACTTATTTTCGGAAACATATAGAAAGAGTAAATGTTGAAATAATAATAAAAAATAAATATATAAACAAAAAAATTATCCGTAATTTATCCGCTTTTATGCTATTATTTGCTGTTTCTCAGAAGAAAAATAATAATTTTTATAATAAGAAAACGTTGTTCACGCTAAAACAAATTTAAAAAATAATATGAAATAAAATAAACAATGAAAAAAATTAAAAGTATCAAATAGCTGCTGGGTTTCGAAACCGGGATCTCCAAGGCCGACTTGTCCGCAACATTCTACCAACCACGCCATGCTTCACTCGAAGCTCTCGCGAAAATTTAGCTTTAAGTACCCTTTTCCGGAATGTAATCGAAACGTATTTTGGTCCTTTGTTGATCCCCTATTAAGCCTATAAATATTTCCTTCGGTATGATTCCTCGGTTCATTAAACCTTAATTTCTGACCGAGTTTGAAAATTATAGGTTAATATTTCAGGGAGTTAATGGGGGTGACGTGTGCATGACCCCTGAGACCATATTTGTCTGTTTTTCTGCCATTATTCGAGATTTAAGACAGAGATATACTTTTTTTTTATATAAAAACACTTTATTTTCGGTAAAATATAGAAAGAGTTAATGTTGAAATAATAATAAAAAATAAATATGTAAACAAAAAAATTACCCGTAATTTATCCGCTTTTATGCTATTATTTGCTGTTTCTCAGAAGAAAAATAATAATTTTTATAATAAGAAAACGTTGTTCACGCTAAAATAATTAAAAAAATAATATGAAATAAAATAAACAATGAAAAAAATTAAAAATATCAAATCGCTGCTGGGTTTCGAACCCGGGATCTCCAAGGCCGACTTGTCCGCAACATTCTACCAACCACGCCATGCTTCACTCGAAACTCTCGCGAAAATTTAGCTTTAAGTACCCTTTTCCGGAATGTAAACGAAACGTATTTTGGTCCTTTGTTGATCCCCTATTAAGCCTATTAAAATTTCCTTCGGTATGATTCCTCGGTTCATTAAACCTTAATTTCTGACCGAGTTTGAAAATTATAGGTTAATATTTCAGGGAGTTAAGGGGGGTGACGTGTGCATGACCCCTGAGACCACATTTGTCTGTTTTTCTGCCATTATTCGAGATTTAAGACAGAGATATACTTTTTTTTATATAAAAAACACTTTATTTTCGGTAAATTATAGAAAGAGTTAATGTTGAAATAATAATAAAAAATAAATATATAAACAGAAAAATTATATGTAATTTATCCGCTTTTATGCTATTATTTGCTGTTTCTCAGAAGAAAAATAATAATTTTTATAATAAGAAAACGTTATTCACGCTAAAACAAATTTAAAAATTAATATGAAATAAAATAAACAATGAAAAAAATTAAAAATCTCAAATCGCTGCTGGGTTTCGAGCCCGGGATCTCCATGGCCGACTTGTCCGCAGCATTCTACCAAACACGCCGCGCTTCACACGAAGCTCTCGCGAAAATTTAGACTTAAGTACCCTTTACCGGATTGTAAACAAAACGCATTTGGGTCCTTTGTTGGTCCCCTATGAAGCCTATAAAAATTTCCTTCGGTACGATTCCTCGGTACATTAAACCTTAATTTCTGACCGAGTTTGAAAATTATAGGTTAATATTTCAGGGAGTTAGGGGGGGTTACGTGTGCATGACACCAGAGACCATATTTGTCTGTTTTTCTACCATTATTCGAGATTTAAGACAGAGATATACCTATTTTTATATAAAAAACAACTTATTTTCGGTAAAATATAGAAAGAGTAAATGTTGAAATAATAATAAAAAATAAATATATAAACAAAAAAATTATCCGTAATTTAACCGCTTTTATGCTATTATTTGCTGTTTCTCAGAAGAAAAATAATAATTTTTATAATAAGAAAACGTTATTCACGCTATAACAAATTTAAAAAATAATATGAAACAAAATAAACAATGAAAAAAATTAAAAATCTGAAATCGCTGCTGGGTTTCGAGCCCGGGATCTCCAAGGCCGACTTGTCCGCAGCATTCTACCAACCACGCCACGCTTCACACGAAGCTCTCGCGAAAATTTAGCTTTAAGTACCCTTTTCCGGAATGTAAACAAAACGTATTTTGGTCCTTTGTTGGTCCCCTCTTAAGCCTATCAAAATTTCCTTCGGTACGATTCCTCGGTATAGGGGTGGGGGGTTGGGAGGTCAAATTACTGAGTTTGCATAAAATTTAATTAATACTTACTTACTTTAATTAATTTAATTAAATACTTTTCTTA